GAGGGCTTACGAAGCGTGTCTACTCAAGCCCACTGTTGTCTGAGGTTCTCTCCCCCCCCCCATGGGTCAGTTTCACACACTAAACACCTCCTACGTATGGTGTTGACACCAGTGATATGTCTTCACTTTGCCAGAGCCCTTCTTTCTAATATATGTCTTCTTTAAAAACCTGGAGGTGTCTTAGAACAGAAAGACCTCCTTTTAGGAATCTGATTCTTCTTTTTTTTTTTTGTTCCTCAAAAAAATAGAAAGAAAGAACATCCACAAATATTTATTTTTAACCAATCATTTTGTGGTTTTTAAAAACTGACAAGTAACTTTTCACTTCTTCTTTTTTAAACCTCTCTGATATTCACTTTTGCTTTACCAGCTTGCCAGCTGATAAAAAAGTACAAGCAAGGGGTGGGGTCCAACTGGAGGAAACAGTTTCTCTGTGAGGGGAGCTGAGAAGTGGTTGAGAATGCCCAGGTGAGGTCTGTAATGCTGCTCATGGCATCCAGATTTATGAGGGCCCTCTAACTACTGAGGAATAGAAATTAATTCCTAAACAGTGTGTTTACTAAACTCCTCACTGGTGGAAATCCCAGGTCTTGGTGCTCTGATGGCAGCATCTCTGGCTGCCCTTGTTGATGGATCACATCCATCAGTGGTGCTAAGGATGAAGCACCTGAATCCAGGAAAAGATTCTTGCAAACCCATGCTAATAAAAAGACTGACAGAAATAAGGCCACCCTGATAACCCATTTGAGGCATCTCTACTAGGTTTACCAAGCAAAGTCTGTGCACACTGCACAGCTAGCTGAGGCATTGTGAATTTCACAGGGAACCCAGTATGGCTTTTGCTGGGCTGTTTCCCCACTCCACCCCGTAATGTGCTGATGTCATGTTTTCATCATCATCATCATTGTTCTTCACAGTTGCAACAAGAATCGTATCTGAGAGGGGCTGCAATCTCTGAAGCCATGGATTAGCCTCAGTGTCTTTTTTTGTACCAGTACTTTCTATGCTTCTTAGGCAGGCCAAATGCCTCCACCCCTGTACCCAAAGGTTTATAAATCCCCTCCCCCTATGATTTCCCCCCAGTAATTTCCCATTCCAACTTTGGTCATTCAGCTGGGAGTTGGGTAGCATTTCAGAGTGACACTTTTATTCGATAAATGTAGCTTTCACAACATCACTGCCATCCATTTGATGGTATTTTCAATGCAGTATTTTCAATGCATTAGCACTGTTTTTGAAAAAAAGAAATATATATCTAATTCCCCCCCCCCCATTTCTGTGCTGGTGTTGCCATGAATTCCTTGAGTTCACAGTCACCATTGCTGTGCATCTCTTGACCCAAAGTGTGTGTATTTGCCTTAAGAGGCACCGTCCAGACAGAAGCCAAGAAAAAGGAAATCCGGGTGATGTGGGGAGAGGTTTTTTTAAGTCTTGCAATCTGGCATGTGTTTTGTGGCACACCGACATTTGAATTAGTAAACATTTAATCATAGAAATGTACTGCCAAGATGTCTGAAAGTGGAAGCAGAGAATAGAATAAAGAAGCTGAAGTCATGGCATCAGGATCTGTCCCTTGGTAGGCTGCTTCCTGCTCTAAGAACTTGCATTGTCTGTTTAGCTAAACTCACCATTTTCAAACCAGTTTCACCTCTTTCAGGTTAAAATGGTATCGAGCCTTGTGTCAAGATTTTAGTTTAGATATCATGAGAATATAAGGGCTCTGAAGGAGGTTCAGACTAAACGACTCTCTTGTCCACCATCTTGTTCCCACCGTGGCCAGCCAGCTGCCAGAATGGAAAACGTGACAGCAGGACACAGCTATACCCTCTGTGTTCAGTTTTCCCCCTTTTCTCTGAGAGATGGGGGGGGGGGAGTGGAGGCCTGCCATTCACAGAACTGCCCAACTAAGGTGGCAGTCCAAAAAAGATAACCTTCCTAAGTTTTGCAAGCATCTTTCCCCCCACCGCCAATCTCCTTTCCTATCCCAGCAATGCAAATTTCACAGCACCCCTGAATGTCAACCAGGTCTGGCCCTTCCCTGGGGCTGGGTTGGGCTTTCCTGAAAGGGCAGCGGGTGATTTGTCATTTATGTTATCCCCTTCCCCACTAGACCTTCTAAAAATTTTTTTTTTAAAGCTGCTAGGAATAATACTTCTTGAGAGATTTTCTGCCCCATACACCAAAACCACTTGGCTAGTTTGGTGTGTGCTGTACCTTGGCTCAGGGGACGGTGTGTGGCCATTTGCCTCAGGCAGCAAAATGTTGAGGGCTACTCCTGGCTTGGACGCCTCCCAACTGCACCCTGCAGTTCTGGCTCTGTGAGCTGAATGGGTTTATGTCAACGTCCTGGCCTTTTCCTATAATCACCTGTAAAAATGAACATGTAACAAAGAAGCGCAGAATGTGGAAGTTCCCCTTGACATAAGGGGGGAGGGGAAGGAGGTTTTCTGGGGGGGCAGCTGGCTTGCAACACGCTCTCGCACAAACCTCTTTATAGAGAAATTCAGGGGAGGGGAGAGGAGATCTTTGGCCACCTCAGGGTCCCTTTTGGTCTTTCACACACATACACCCCTTTCCCCATCTCGCCATTATTTGGGGATGTCCCCACTTTTCTATCCACCTCCCTCCACCCCCAAAAGTGCCTAGCACTTTGAGTTAGACTAGGCTGGCCTTTTGGCCCCACCCCTTTGGCCCCACCCACCCCTGGGATGTCTCCCCCCCAAAAAAAACCACTCTGAAATGGAATAAGGGGAGGGGAACCCAGGAGATCCCTCATCCTTGGTGTTTGGGGCCTGAGTAGGAGTGGGGTCCAGCCCCCCCCGCCAAGGCCCTGGAGAGTTGACAAGTGCCAAACTCAAAGGCACCCCCTCCCTCTCTCTCTCTCTCCCTCTCTCTGACCACCACCAGCAACGAGGGGGCCCCTTCCCAGTCTCCTGCCGGTGCGGCCCTTTGCCTCCCCACCCCTAGCATCCCAGCCACCGGTTCCTTTTCTCCTGTGCCTTTTTCCAGCTTGTCCTTGGCAGGATTGAGCCTGAAGATGCCTTGCAGGGCCTTACTCTGAGTGTACCTCACACCCCCTTCATTCAGGATGTAAATTAGAAGATTCGCCTCCACCTCGGGAGATATTTATAGCCAGGTCAAATGGAAACTTGCCCAGCTCCTTTGCTCGGAAAAGGCCATTTCTGACGGCTCTCTAATGGGCTTTTGTCAAATGAAGTCATAAACCAAACCCCACTCTTCCCTCATTGGGGCAAGGCACCCTTTTTATGCAGGCAGCCAAGCTGCTGGGGGGGGGGAGACTGGGTCTCTGACAGGGCGGCATATCTCGCTTTCTCTCCCTCCTCATCTCTTTTTGTAACTAATATGATTTTAAATCACTTCCCATTTGTTGTTAGTTGTTTTGCTCTGTTCTAATTGTGTTTTAGTTATAAATGATCATGTTTTAGCCACAGGTTGTGAGCTGCCTTGAGTTCTAATCTAAAGAGAAAGCAAGATATAAATGGAATAAATTAAGTAATAGTGAGAGAGGGGCACTGTCTGTTGTGTGGGGTCGGGAGGGGGGAAAGCGCCTATAGAAACTCTTCTTTTGACAATGCTGACAGTTGCACCAGCGTGCAAGGAGTTTTTGCCTAAGGAGGTAGTCTTAAGCCCCTGCCCCAATGAGCTTACAGTTCAATTTTTTAACAGTACAGGGAAATCTAAAGAAATGGGTTGGGGGTGGGGAAGAAAGAAAATGAAGCACTGATAACAAGAGGCAGCACTGAGACCCCGTAATTCCATCACTTGAAGTTTCATTTAGCATTAGAAGAATCTAGCACTTTGTGTGTGCTCAGGAACATCTTTTACAGCTGCTGATAATACAAGAGGAGTGGGGAGGACTCTGCACAACTGCAAAATGCATTTTGTTCAAAATTTCAAATCTTCTAAAAACATGTATCTCCAAACAGCTTCATCTAGGAGCAACCTTGGGTACCATCAAGATAATTCTGGAAGTTGCACCTGCCCCCCCCCCAAGGAACCTAGTTACCCACCAGTTCCGGCTCTAGGAGAAAAGGGTGTGCATATGTATGGGTGTGTGTGTGTGTGAAAGAGAAAGAGAGAGAAACTTAGCTTGAAAATGTATCTTTGAGAGGAAAAAATGGGTTGGAAGATAGGGATTGCATTGCCCATTTTCCTTTGAATGTTCATACAGGATTTTTGAAAAATAAAATCATTAGCACAATGTGCCTAAGGGGTGTGTGTGCAACGCGGCAGGTGTGACAATAACATCCAGGTCATAGTTCAACTGGAGCAACCTCATTGAATCCATGGGCTTTGCACATGGGTGGACTACTCACCAAGCAGCAGTTTCCTCGGGGCTACCCGTTGGATCAGGCCGTGGGCTGGAAAGAGGCAGACCCACCTCCCTCTGCGGGCTCATCTCTCTCCTCCTTTTCATGCCACTTAAAAGAAGGACTGAACTGGCTCGGGGACCATTTGTGCATTGAGAAAGGAGTAAGAGTAAAACTGCACAAGCAGTTCCCCTTCCCCCCCCCCCCCCCGCCCCCCGCCCGCCTTTGCCACCNNCCCCAACAGCAAAAACAGTTATGATGAGGTTTATTTCCCAAATCTCCCCCTTTTTCACTTATCCTCTCCCCCCTCCACCGCAAACCATCTTCCTCCCACTTGGCCCAGCCATCTGTCCAACGCCGTATTGGGTGAACGCTGCTACCGTGGAGACAGCTCATCTCCTACAAACCCACAGATTCTGGGGCATCATAGAAACTAGAAAATAAGATTTCACCCCCCCACTTCCCGCCATAAATCTGGAAGGTGTTTAGCGATCATCAGTTTTAAGTATAATGCCAGCTCTATCAATTATTTTTAAAAATCTCTTTGACGGGTGCTGTGTTTTCTTTTTCTTCATCTTCACTCTGAAGGGAGGAAGCTCCCCTCTATCCATACAGGAATGATTTTGTTCCTCCTTCTCACAGAAGAAAGTCACGAGATAGATGAAAAAACAAACCAACCTGGAAATATGCAGTATGTAAATGGACTCAACAGGGCAACAGAAACGGGATATAATCTGTGTTTATTTTATTTTATAAATAGTATGTTTTCCTTCAGAATAAGGGAGCTCCACAGTCTTTTCATTTTGCCCCTTCTTCTTCTTCTTCTTCTTCTAGAAACAAAGCTCTCTCTCCTCCCCCCCGCCGCCCCCACCCCAGTGAGCCTCATCCACCAAAGCTCTTCCTCTTTCAAGAATGGACTCCAGTGAGTTGTTTCTTGGGAGGTCTGTGTTCCTATTGCGGGCACTTTGCACCCTCTCCAGGGCATCACTGCCCTCACCCCCATCTCTGCCAGTCACGGATAAATCCCCAGCGATAAACTCCTGTTTAAACAGGGGAGGGTGGAAGGCCACCGCTGAGGTGCTCGTTTTGGGGAGGGTGCCACAAAGGACACAACCCCTGCACTTCAACTTAGATAGGACCGAAGAGGCAAGTCTTTCTTTATCAGTTACCCCAACCATTTCGCTAAATGCTGACACCAAAGAGAAACTGAAAACTCGAGGGGTGGGTCGGTGGGTGGCTCTCCTTGCACAGTGAGTGGAGGCTACACCAGTCCCAGGTCTCTGCATTGTCCACACTCCCGGTTGCAAAGGTTCTGACACTCCGCCAAAAATACATTCCACCGCTGAGAGAATGGGTTGAGGAAGAAGTGTCAATAAATGTCAAGGTCACAGAACTGAAAAACCAAAAGGCATCCCATGTAGGATCCACCATGGCCTTGTTTCCCCGTGGAGTTCCTTTAGAGCAAAAATGAACAATATGATTGGCTTTTTTAAAAAAGTCACCTCAGTTAAGTTATTTTTCTTCTTTTTAAGTGGTTATTGTTTTGCCTGTGGTCAAGTGGCATAAATATAGTGAGGTTGGGATCTGTTCTTGCAAAGGCAGAAATGGGGAAAACAGCCTCACATCCTGCCTGCTTCATGCCAGTCTCTCAGGCATCTTTTTTGGGGGGGGAGGGGGGGAGCCCAGGTGCCTGGAATCTGTCTGAGAAATGTCTGCCCTCCGATAAAGTCCAAGCTGCCCCACGGGGCCCGGCTCTGGGTGGAGAACCTCTGCCCTCCCTCCCAGGGGCCCCGCAGCCTCCCTCTTTCTCGGCCGCTTTCTCTCTCATTGCATGGGGATGTAAGGCCAGTTGAAGCTGGAGCCCGAGAGGAGCATGTCCCGGATGAGGGTCTCGATGGGGGTCTTGCCCACCAGGCGCACAAAGAACAGCTGTTCAATGACGGGGGCCGAGACGATGCGCAGAGAGGGGAGGCGCAGGAGGAGGCGCCCAAAGCGGCTGGGCTGGCTGGGGTACTGGTTCCGGACATATTCCTCCAGGGCGCACTGGGACTTCTCCTGGACATTCTCCACGTGGCACAGATCCGTCAGCCCCATGGCGTCTGCAAGGGACAAGCAGGGAAGTGAGTGAGCTAACAGGGAGGTTAAAAGAAAGGGTTGGGGGGGGTTAACGTTGCGGTGGGGTGGTCTGCCAAGGTGCGCTGAGGTGTAAATAAAGGGAAAGAAGAGGGGGGACCCAGCTTTTAGGTCCAGGTCAGATATCCCATTGGCCCTAAACTGGTGCCAGGCTGATGGGACCTGGAGTCCAATTGTATCTGGAGGGCCATAGGTCTGTGGTGTAACACCTGGCCAGGGTGAAATGTGAACTGTTCTGCTTCTTTCCCAATTTTCATAACATCCACCCTGATGGCAAGGCCCAAAAAGTTAGTGCTTTGGTGGTTCTGTGTCATCAGATCACCTCCAACTTTGGGCAACCTGATGAATGAAGAGGAACCTCCAACATATCCTATCATGAACATGAAGTTTTTCTCTGCTTCCCCCCAACTCTCTCTCCCCCCCATTTAAAAAAAAATCTGGGTGTCCATAAGGGTATTTTCCCTACTCTGCCTTTTAATTTCTTGGTCTACCTTTTACAGTTGGGGGAACATTTATTTTTTTTCAAAACCACAAAGCCAGGCTTAACCATATTCCATCTGTTTCAAGGGTGAGGGTGAGGGCTGGCCAGCAGCCGAAGGAGCTCAAGACACACTGGAGCCCTAAAAAACTATAGCAGGTTTTTAAGAGGCTCCATAGCATTAGCCTGCCTTTGTGCATTCTTACAAAACACTTTTTGGGGGGTAAAAGTATTCTCTCATAATCTGAGACCCCAAGTAATATATTACTTTCCTTGTGCATAAATCCAACACTAGCTAGATGCCTAATTCCTAGAAATCAACTTTCTCAGGAGCACACAAAAGAATTAATAAATGTTATGGAAGTTTCCCAATCTTAATTATCCCAGGTGCTCTGGCGCTTCCAACCGTGATCGAAGGTAATCTATTTGAAAATGGCTACATTTTCAGCCTTTCTCCTTGTCCTGATGGTCGGTCAGGCCCCGTCCCGCGTCCCCCGTGGCTTCCTTCCTTTCCTTTCCGTGGTCAGGGTTTTTTAGGGCCGGTTGCTTAACGTCCGGGAAGCCCCGTCTGTCTTCCCGCAGATGGTGCCAGAGACCCCCGGGCTCTCTCCTTTTGTGGCGGACCAGGTGCGGGGAGGCCAGGCGGGTTCCCACCTCTCCCAAAGGCCGCCGCCGCTCGTCCCACCGGCTCCGCACCGCCTTCCCT